GCTGCCGGTGGTGTGTCTAGTGGTGTTGTGTACTCGTCGTATTCTTCGCAAATGTCCAATACTGGTTTGTTGGAGTTAGCTCGCGGTAATAATTTGTGTCGGATGTAATTCTCTCTCTTGGAGGGTTTAACAATTTGATTCAACTTCTCTTAGTCTTTCTTTCTCTTTGTTTATAAATTCTTCAAATCTCTATCTAAACTTCGGATAAGCCGTTGTCGGTCTTCTTCCGACTTTCTGGATGTTCTTCGTGGTTTTGGATACATGCATTCTTCTACTGGTTGTTGGTGTCAGATTTGTGTCTGCAGTCAATCATGCAGTTCGGGTAGAACTTCGGGAAGACTGTCGGCAGGCCAATTGTCGATAAAGTCGTTGTGAGGTTGTTATTTCTTTTCTATGCAAATATTGACGGTGGTGCGTGTTGGGTTGTGTTCAGCCGAGTTGTGTTGGGTCGAGTGTGCTGGTGCAGTATGCAGACTGGTCTTCCACTTGCTGGTGCCGAGATGGAGTTTGATGAAGAGTTTCGGATATTTGGGTTTGTCTGGAATGATTTCTTCAATAATGTCGTCGAGTTGTTCGAGTCCAGATTGGGTGATGGCGTGATTGGCAAGAGTTGTTGCAGCGAACGTGTTGATTTTGAACCGAGTTCGGACTGTTGTTTTGGTGCTGAGCTGCTGACTCTATCGGAGGGGTTGTCGAAAAATTGGTGGTGCGTTGTCAAGTTGTCCCTCGACAAGTTCTCTGATACCGGGTAATAGAGTGATGGGTTCGTTGTTGGTGTAGGTTCTGAGGATGTGCTTCGGTATTTGGAGTGGACGCAGGAATTGGAATTGTGTCGGAGCACTAGGATTGCTGGGTCGACGACTGCACGGAAGATGAGTTCGTTTCAGTAGTGGTGTCGGTTTGTGTCGAGCGCGCTGGTTGAGGTCTCGAGCTTGGAGTGGGTGGTCTTGTGCTCGGAGATGGAGTTCGCCAATGAAGCTGTTGAGGGTGTCCGCTGATGAAGGTGCTGGTAGATTGGAGTTTCTTGTCAAAGAGGGCTGTTGGTGGTCTTTGTTGGTGATTGGACTCAGAGATTGAGTGAGAGAGCTTTCAGATTCTGCAAAGATCTCCTCTGAGAAGGGTCTGCCTCTACTGCGTTGGGCGGCGATCACTTGGACGCCATTGATCCATATTGGTGGTGGCATTTGTTTGTTGAATTTGGGCGAATTGGGTGGCGAATTGGGTAGCAAATTGGGTGGCAAATTGGGTAGCGAATTTTGGCGAGTTGGGTAGATTGCTTGATCGTTCTTGCTATCTGCGCACAAAGAATGGAGAAAGAATGGAAGAATTTGTGAACCTAAAAGGGAATTCAAAAGCCATGGTTGCCAAATGAAGAGGTGTGAAAACTCCTCTTGGCTGGAAATCTATTGTTAGTAAGAAAACAAAAGAGAAAAAAGCCCAATCTCCAAGGGCAGAGAAGAAGCATGAGAAAAAGAATGCTATGTATTAATAAGAAAAATGATGGAATGGAGATAGGGATCCACAATTCGGATTCCCCCTTTTGAAAGGCTAGTGGTTCTAACTGCTAGCATATACTATATGCTGTGCATGATTTAATCTATGGCTCCGATGCAACCCTGGGTTCAAAGTCGGAGTCCCCTGAGCCTGGGTTTTTGGTTAATACACGATGTGTCGAGTGTAGTGTTTTGCGTAAGCTTGTGGGTGTGACTAGGCTAGTGGAGTCATGTTTTAAAGCTTCTCCTTGTCCCTTACCATGCTCGCAGTGGCTTAACGTACCCATGAGCAGTTGAGGGACTTCTTCAAACCTCACAGATCCTTGTGTTGTATCATCGCCTCGCTTGCCATGCTTCTTCTCTTGTCAGCCATCAGCTATGCAGAGTCTAAACCTGCAAGCAGCTCTTGAGGAATTGTTTGCTCTCACCTGATGCTCGATCAAGGCTCTCACAACGTACTCGGGACTAGACTACAGTGGATATCACTGATGCAACAAGCTTTAGGTTCCGAGTCTAAGTTAGTTGCACCAACTCAAAGATGTTCTGTTCTGTTTCATGGTTTTGAACATGGTTTTTCTATAGGAACAAGCATCAGACTGGAAGCTTTTGGGTGGTGTCTTGATGAATTAAGCTCCCCGAGGGTTTCATCTTGCGAAGAAGAGAGAAACAACTACCCCCAACCTTCAGCACTCTTGACATTTCCAGATGCCTTGCAACTCGAATCTCTTGGGCAGAACGCACCGGTGCTCTTGAGGGGGGTGCCTGGATCAAATCAAACTGATGGGAAACATTCGCGTGCTAGCTGAGCGCCATGCCCAGAATTTCAAGAAACGATTCATGAAAGTAACAAACACGTTAACAAGCTATTAATGCATAATTTGGACGGGAACCTGTTGGCCGGATATCTGGCTCGAATAAAAACAATTATTGGCAAGGTCACAGGTTCGAACCCACAGCCAGAGACCCAATTAAATTTTACTTCGCTTGCGCAAGGCACCTGGGTCTTTATGGAATTCGCTGGAGTGCTTGAGCAGCAGCAGCAGCCACGATGATCATGGTCAGTGTGTCGATCTAGCCCAGACTCTTCCTTTTGCTTTAAAGTCATGCTGGAACGCGTCTCAGCATTGCTCGCTTGAACGCCAACAGGTTTGGACGAGGAGAGGAGCTTAAACTTGCAGCCCGCGTGACTCGCAATGCAGCCTTGTCTACGAAAGTATCATTGCATTTCAGCTAGAGGGGGTGTCCAAGTTTGAATCCACCACTAGCTCCTCCTACATGCTTCGTCAAAATAGCGAATCGCCGAGGACTACTGACGACCTGGATAACGATACGCTGCTCCACACTTTCGAGCAGCGTTTGACTGCCACGCTTGTGCCAACCTCATGTAAGAAAGAGTGGAGCTGAGCGAGAGCGTAGCCTTTCTTCTCGACGTGGGTCCTTGCAGAGCATTGTGTTGTATCATTCCACCGCTTGTCATGCTTCTTCTTTGCTCTCACCTGACGCTCGATCAAGGCTCTCACAGGCTGCAGTGAATAACAAAGGAATCACTGGTGCATCAACCCTCAGGTTCTGAGTCTAATCAGTTGCACCAAATCAGGGATGTGCCTCTCGTGTTTTTGGGAGTGAGTATTTAATTTCATGGTCTTGAACATGGCCAGAGGATTTGATCTTGCAAAGAAGAGAGAAACAAATAAATACCCCAACCTCCAGCACTCTTGACATTTCCAGATGCCTCTCAACTCTGCTCTTCAAGAGGGTGGTTGGATCAAATCAAACTTGCTCATTTTCCAGAAACTTTTCTTGTTCCGAGAAACAAATTTTGCTCCAAAAAAATTCCTGGAACCAAGAAGAGAGGCTTGGAAACGTTCGCGCGAACTTGCCCACGTGATTGATACGGAACAAGAAATCAGCACGCGTGCCATTCACTCAAAATCAATAACAAGCGAAACACTTTAACAGGCTATTAATGTTTAATTTGGACGGGAACCTGTTGGCCGGATATCTGGCTAGAATAAAGAAATTTATTGGCAAGGTCACAGGTTCGAATCCACAGCCAGAGAACCACCTAAACACACTTTTTTCAAGTGTAGGCGATGTTGGAGTTTCTCCGCGATATTGGAATTTCCTTGTTTCTTCCTCCCGCAGGCTCGAGAGACAAAAAAGACAGTGGTCGATCTAGCCCAGAAACAAAGGATCCTGGAATGTGTCTCTCGCTTGGAACGATAATAGATTTGGAGGAGGAACTTGCGCCTCGCGTGACTCGCAATGCAGCCTTGTTACGATCGCACAGAGTGCTGCAGACTGCCAAGGAAGAACACGAACGCTGAGCGGCACACTCTGCAAGCTGGAACGCGAGCGATTGAGCGGAGCAGAGACAGGACACGACCCTGGACATCGGTTTACCGATGCCCAAGAGTTTTGGCAACCTTCGAATGGCTGTGAGTCATGATCTCCAGCCCAGAGGACAGGTCCAACTAGCATCGGACTTTTCCCCACTCTTTCATTCTCCAGCGCTGAAATTTGGCTCGACACTGGCCTCGTCTAGCTTCCCAGATCTCCCCAGCAGATCCACCAAGCATCTTAAGTTTTCCATGATCGTGGACTTGCTGTAGTTTTGGGCTATGGACGACAAGTAGTTCTCATCCCGAGATGACTGCAGGCAGAAGACCTCGCTCTGATCACAGTAGCTTGCAAGATGCAAAGGAGGGAGAAACGTTGCAAAATTTTTTGATTGGGTCTCTGGCTGTGGATTCGAACCTGTGACCTTGCCAATATATTTGTTTATTCTAGCCAGATATCCGGCCATCGGGTTCCCGTCCAAATCGGACACTAATTGCTTCTTAACGATATCATACCTTCACCATAACGGCGCAAGCTCTCGCTCATTTCTAAGCATCCTTTCTAAACCTGTGGGAACGTTTTATAAGGCTGTCATCCTTTCTGCGGTTGTCAAGCTCAAGAAAGAAACCATTATGGAATGAACATTTCACCACTGAATCCCTGGGATAACCTACCTTTTCTTCTTTTGAGAAACAAGGTTTCCCTAACGACTGAATGTCCGAAGATGGCTTGTTTGAGCATTGAAGATTAAATTGATCCAGGCACGCTCTTGATTAGCAGCAAAGTTAAGAGTACAAGGCTGGAGGTACTTGTCTGTTCTTTCAAATCCTGGGGAGCTTGAGATTTCATCAAGGGGCTTTCTTGTCGTGTTCTATCCAAGTTTGATGCTTGTTCCTAGCAGCAACAGGAAAAAATCCATGAAATTTCAAGTCACACCCTGTGTGAAGAAGAGGGGGCAATGCATGGAAAGTACTCGGGGAAAAGGTGACTGTCCACAACAAGAGTATTTAGAGCAAAAAGGGCGAAAGATGAACTGTGGGAAAGCAATGCTTTCACTGCAACGTATATCCCTTGTGCCCTGCTGATCAATCCAAAAGCCACAACACTGGTGGTAGTGCAGCAGCTCCTCCGTCCCACGTTTAAATTCTACAAGCTCTTGCCAGGTGCAAGGTTCCATGGCCGTTTGCGACAAGAGAAATGCTGGTCACGTCTTTCGAACTGGAGCTACCTGAATTGGATGCCGTGGTTGGCTGCTTGCGAACAGTTAAGCTATCAATCACTGTGCCTCTTTTGTTATTTTATTCACTCCAATGGTGGTGATTTGCCAGGTCCCCCAGGAAGCAGAGACTATCGTCAAGGAGACCATCCATGGTTTTAATGCTTCTCATTTGCCTCCTCCAAAAGAGGGCGTCATTCGCATGGAAGCCAACGGTGGATTCATCCTCCAGAAGATTAGCGACGAGAAATGCTACATAAGGTACGCTATTAGTTTTTTTTTTTTTTTTGTTTTCTTCTTAAGATAGTCACTACTACTTTTACAGAGCAGTAATACACCTGGACCTTAAGCTCGACCTTGTTCCGACATGGGTGATTAACTTCCTTGGGCGTCAAGTTGTGGGACACGGCTTCAGGCTATACCTCAAGGTATATTTCTTTCCTTTTGGGGTGAAAAATGTCTAAACTTTGTGTGTTACAACAGACTGTTTCTTCTGTTAAAGAGAGCAAAGTGTTTCAAGAATGCATCAGGCAACAGCCACTCTACAGCCGCATAACGTTACAGATGCTACCAAAATCGAGCCACGAAAATGGATACAAGAGTTGAGGTGCTTTTCATAGGAACTATTCATAAGCTTCCTGCACAAGAGCATTTACATTTATAAACAATTTATAAACAAAGAGGAGCTTGAGGCCCACCGATACTCCTGAAAAGTCCGAACTTATTCATGAGACATATGCAAGGTGGGTTTTATAAGATTTCTGTTGTTTTGCATGTCTAGAAAAATCTGCTGCAGTCAAGCTCAAGAAAGAAACCATTCTCTTCTCGATGGAATGAAACTCTCACTTGCTCCATGCTCTGGCGAGGCCATGGCAAACAAAATGGGTGCACTCTTCGTCTCAATCTGACAAGCAGCTGATGCAAAGGCTACTTTTGAGAAACAAAGCGTAAGTATGCTGCAACAAGAACCAGCAACAGCCGTTTAAGGTATTGTCGTGGAAGATGGCTTGCCTAAGCTCGAGTTTGATTTGATCCCGGCACCATGGTCCCGGGAATCTATTCTTCACTTGGTTGTCAAAGCTTGGAGGTCCATAGGTTTGGATCCTTTCAAATCCTCGGGGCGTGAGACTCTGGAGCTCCAAGTTTTGATGCCTTCTCTTGGCAATAATATAATATATTGCTCTGAAACCGTGAAAGCTTACTCACCCGCAAACAAAACTCCAGGGTTGCACCAGACATCCAATAAACCTGTGAGAGCCTTGACCAAGCTCAAACTCAATCAGCTCAGAGCAAGCTTTCTCAAAAGTTTCCAAAGAGCAGATGGCATAACACAAAAAACGTATACCAGGTCACCAACTCATCTCATCACAAGTTGCGTTGTGGTCACTCCACGCCTTGGATGTTGATGAACTACAGGCCTCCATTTTATCTTGGAAAATGCTCGAGGCCAAAGGGTGGCGAAGATGAGGAATGAAGCGATCTGGACTGGACAAGAGTATAAGCAAAATGAGCACGAGAAGAACCACACATACCGCGGAAAAGCAGTGCTTGTGCTTGTGAGCCTAGTTTGAAGATGTCCGAGACTGAGAAGAAAGACCATGCTGCTCGACTCATAGAGCACGCCCGGCAGCAGCACACCGCCCGGGTAAAGAGCCCCCTGGATCGAAAATGTGCAGCAGTAGCGTATAATGGCAATGGCGGTGGTTTTCCATGGCATCGTTCTTGAGCCTTGACGAGGAGGTGCCATCCAGCGAAGATTTGCAGGAAGGAGGAGCGATCTCGAGCGGTGGGCGCCTGGGCGAGAATGCGGTGAGCACAGATCTGGGAGGGGGAAGGCGCATCCACGAGGAAAATCGTCTCCAGCGGCCTCGAGGTTCCTTGCTAATCTGGTCATAGAAAGGTATGGAAAGTGCGGGCGCTGGAAATCTTCCAGAAGATGAAAGATCGAGGTTCTTTCTCGTGGAAGATTGCGATCGCGGCATTTGCCCTTGTTACTCTTTTTCGAGCATCCAGTTATTTCCCTTGGCAGCTATCAATGCCGATCCGCGCGCTAATCATCGCCGCGTTACGGTGCTCCGTTGGCGAGCATGCCATCGCCGAGATCTTCTTCTGCCAAGAACTGGACAGACACTTGCATCGGGTGGAACCAGGGCATTGCCGTGTGAGCTCGAGACTGGCATCCCAGCCTGATCGGCGCCACATCCCAATCGAATCGCCGCCCCAAGCTCCAATTACTACAACGACAAGCCAAAGATGGTGACGGTGTTATTGTCTCAGCTCCAGGATTGCGAGGAGATCAGACAGCAGGGGTATGGCGTCCTCCAAAGGCCGTGGTTGATTTACCCTCCAGCAGTAGTCTTTCAACCAGGCCTGGAGCGGGGCCTTCTGCCAACTTAAGTCGAGGTTCCTGGTGTTTCTCACCTGGATCTCTGCCACATCGCCATTGATAGCTGCAAGAATTCGATCGACGAGCATTTGCTGGGCAAATGCGTTCCAGAAGAAAACATTTCCATCTTCCATTTTGTGGAGGACACCCAAGGCATCCGCGGCGCGCCCGCACTTTCCATACATTTCCATGACGAAATTCGCAAGGAATCTATGACGATCAGAGCAGCGTCTCCTCCTCGTCGTCAAGAACAATGCGATGGAACCATTCGTTAACTACAGGTAAGCTTCGTCAAAATAGCAAATGTCGCAAGGACAGCGATAGCAGAGGTGACGCTGCCACCATTGGGCGACCTGGATAACAATACGCTGCTCTGCACTTTTGCTCGCATTCCAACAAGGAAGTTCTTCACCCGAGCAGTGCTTGTCTGCTGCGCTTGGCTGGATGATCCGGTCTGGCTCAAACCAAGACAAGCCTTCAAACAATACCTCGCAAAGCAAGCATCACAAGCATTGCTTTTGTGATTTAAAGCGGTATGTATATACTCTTGTCCAGATTGCTCAAGAACGCAGAAGAGACTGTCTTGAGCTTCATTCCTCACCTTTGCCACCTTTCGATTTTCGCCAAGCGATGTGAAGAGGTGTGAAAACTCCTCTTCACTGGAAATCTGCTCGATCTCCAAGGGCAGAGAAGAAGCACGAGAAAAAGAATGCTGTGTATTGATAAGAAAAACGATGGAATGGAGATAGGTATCCACAATTCAGATTCCAGTTCTAATTGCTAGCATATACTATATGCTGTGCATGATTTAATCTATGGCTTCGATGCAGCCCTGGGTTCAAAGTTGGAGTCCCTTGAGCCTGGGTTTTTGGTTGATACACTCTGCTCCCCTGACAGAACTAGACACCGTCCTCGGTGCGAACATAGTCAATTTCCATCGCTTGTTGTTGTTGCTGCTCAAGTCGATAGAGGCGATGTTTTTGCTGCGGGAGTGTAAGCTCGTGGTTAGGGACACTGTCTGGTGGATCTGTCCCATCTTCCTGGAGGTCGGCTACCTCAGCCAGTAGGGCGGTATGATCATCCTCGAGCTTTCAGTAGTGGGTGTTGAGCTTTTCGTATTTGAATTTGTAGGTGAATTTGTGAGCTGCTGATGGGGTTGATGGCTGCTTGGAGACGATCTTCCTGATGTCTTGGAGGTCAGTGCAGATCTGCTTCATCTCTTTGAGCTGAGCATCCAGCTGTTGGTTTAAAGGCTCATAGAATTCCTTCTTGATCGCTCCCCGGGTGTATATGAAGGAGTCTTGCTTGAGAAGATGCTGTGCAATGTCAACTCGTGTTGGGAAGTAGTTTGCTTGCTCGCGGTGCATGCGTTGATCGAGGGCTTCAAACAACTTGCGGGTGTAGTAGCTTGGGTCACAAAGTTTATCTTCGTACTCCTTCCTGATCTCGTCATAATCATGGCCTACCTGACTCTGTGGCTGAGGCATAGCTGCTGCTCCTACTCCTGCTCCATGATCCTGGTGTTTCTCGCTGTGTTCTTGGTCCCGGGAGTTGAGTTTGCTTTGTTGGATATGGGTGACGTGGTCGGGCCAGATTCTTTGAGGTGGTTGGAGATGAGCTTTTCAGTTTGATGGTGGATGAACGGCCCAGATGTGGCACTGAAATTAATTTATCCATTCGGAAATTTTTCGCTTGGAATTTTGTTGAAGGGGCGGAATTTTTGTGAATGCTGGTCGTGGTATTTGCTGGAGGAGGCATGGTTGTGTGTTCTTCAAGTGATTGGTGAAGGTAGTCAATGTTTTCTTTTGTGGAACGTGTTGAGGAGGTCGAGGCGTTGAGAATGTTGTTCTCAGCTGGTGGAGAAATTGAGTTCAGGGCAAGCAGCTGACGTTTCCCTTTGGCGATGTTGATGTGTTTGTGAGAAATTGTCGGTTTTGGGGCTGATTCGAGTGGATGCAGGCTCTGGGGTGAGTGTGGATGGTGGTGTGAGTTATCTTCATTGTCGCTGATGATGAGGTGCTCTCAAATCAGCGGTGGCGGCAAAGTGGAGTTGAATTGTTGGAGTGTTTGTTGCTAGAGCTAGTGTTGTTGGAGTGAGTTGAGCCTGATTGTTGAGATGTTGGCTTCGGTTTCTTGCTGGGAGTTGCTCCTTCTGATTCTGACTGGTCTTTGGAGCTGTCACTTTGTTCTGTGGAGTTCATTTGGGTTGTCCACGGTTGTTTGTTGGGAAGAGCTTGGTGTAGAGCGATCAGCAGTGGGAATATTACTGTCCGCATGGTCTTTTTGTTGAGTGTGGCAAGGATGGCGCGGTCGAGAAGCTTGAGAAGGAGCTCATGGAGATGATGAGCCACGTTCACACGTTTGCCGTCAAGTAGAGCTCTGTAGACTTCTACTCTGCACTTGCCAATGGTGCGATCTATTGGGCAAAGTTCGTAGTAGAGAAGGAGGGCTTTGAGGCAATCCATATGCTGCTCCTCGATGTCCTCCCATGTGAGTTCACTGGTAATTTCTCGATTGGCCTTGATGATTTGCTGTGGAACTTCTCCTGAAAATTTGAGTAGTCCCTTGTTGGAGATTTTGAAAACGGAGGCGATTCTTGCTGGGCTGAGGGTGATTTCGTTGGTGCCATCGGTTATGGTGCCGTTCTTGGGGTTGAAGGAGGCAGCCAGCTTCCTCGCTAGTTTTTGATCAAGGTGTGTTGAAAAGGCCTTGTGGAGGAGCTCGAATCTATGGCCCTTGAGCCAGGTGGTTGTGTCATTGCTGGGAAGCCTAGGAATATGGTGTATGACGTATCTGAGGCGTCGGGGTGGATGAGCTGGCATCTTTCTCTTCATTTTCTGTGGTCAAAGTGCTCTCCCCGTTAGGGTTCTTGAAACCTGTAACTGTTGGTTGGCTGATTGTGTGGCACTCGATTGTTGGTGATGAATGGTAGAGATTTGTTGACGGAATTGATGTGGTTTGATTTGGCTTGATTGCAGATCAATGGTGGATATTGCTGATGAAGTTAACTCAAGTTCAACTATTGATATTTGCTCAGGTGGCGTTGATCCAACAGTAGCTTGGGACTTAGAGATTTTTGCTGCTGTTTATTGCTGAAGTTGGTGGATGAGTTCGTGTTGAGTTGAGTTGAGTTGAGTTGTGTCGAACTGATTTGAGTTAAAGTTTGTCTGCTGGGGTGAGTGTCGATTGTTGGTCTTGGGGTGTTTGTCAGTTTGGGTCGGAAATTTGCTGAGGTGCTGATGCTGAATATGTCGACGTGATATGGTCGAAGCTTGTTGAGGTTGACGATCTCAATGAAGTCTTCAGCAAGTGTGCTGACTTTGGCGGTGCCGTTGGGG